TCGATGCGATAACAGTGATGATATTTGGTTTTATTTGTGGGTTATATTTGAACTAACACTTTTGCAAGACAAACTGTATTGTTAGTAATTTACTATGCTTGACCTGGTTTCCCAATTTTTGCAAGAATACTTCGAATTTTAAAGTACAAATTTTCCAGTAATTATTGAAAATTTTAAATTGGTAAGATTGAATTTTTTTTTTTTGCATTTCTCTATCATTTTGTTTTCGTTGACAAAGAAAATTTTTGCGAGAAACTACAGGGAACTTTTCTTGGCAAAAACAATGATTAGCTTTTAAAATGCTGTGTCGGTTAGCTGCAAATAATTATATTTGATTTCAACTGCAGTTGTAATTTCAATCAACTAAAATTTGTTGTTAGTTGTGAATTTTAACTTTTCACGTAAGCAGCACATAAGCAATCAATCAGTATCAATCAAAACATGGAAAAGAAGAAAGATGACCATAGCAAATTTATATTTTCATCGAAATGTATAAGTAATATTATACGTGTCAAGGACATTAACACGAAATTTTTGAGGTTATAAAAATTTTGTCAATTATATTTACACATAATGTAAATATGAACGATTATAAATAAATTCTAACTTTATTTTAGTTTTAATTTTATATTAATTTCAAAATTTAATTATTTTGAATTATAAAATGTATTTCGCTCTTGAAAAAAAAAGCAAGGAAAAGTTTTTCTTTCTGAGCTTTATTTCCGTTTTCTTTCTCCACATGAATTACTTTATAATTGAATGAATGAAAGGCTAAATAGCCTAGAAATAAGAAATTCAAGCAGAATAAGCACAGCTATTACAATGTTCTTCTTTGGCGATAATTATTGCTTATCATTAGCTTATCAATAGCAGTGCAATATTGTTAGATAATAAACCAAATTTGTTGGTTAGAAAGCTAGTGTTGGGTATTATTTTCTTGATTTAGGTAAAATAATATTTTCAATTCATGCGTTAATTTTTGTTGCTAATGCTAATGTTAAGCTGAAAATTCTTTTTTTTTTCATTTTTCATCATTGAACTAACAAGTTTTCCTTTAATTAAAAAAATTTTTCGTGATCAATTAATAGATACTTTTTTTTTTCACTTTCAATTCATTGTTTGCCTTTAAACTCACAATATTCTTCGATTAAACTGAAAATTTTTTAAATTAAACAAAACAGTTCTAGTCTTTCCCTTTCCTCTTGGTTTTTCTCCTTCCCTTTTTCTTTCTTATATTTTTAATCTTTGAACCTGTAATTCAAATCAATTCTAATCAAAGAGAATTTTTTTAAAAAGAAAACAGAAATAAACGATAGGAAGAAAATATGATATCAGTCAGTTTATGGTGACAATGGCAGAGACAGATTGATTCGACCTGCATCAAATTAATTGTTTGTGATCATACTTGTTTACAATTATTATTTAATTTCATTTTATATGTTTACCAAAATTTATAATTTTTGTTCATTTATTTTTTTCAGCTTTACTTTCGGTTGTTTTTCTCAGTGATTTATTTCGTTTCAAAAAATTTTCAAACTCTTTATAAATGTATTAATAGATTATTGAAAATTTGTGCTCTCTTAACATAAAATATTGATTTAAAATAAGATTATAACATTTATATTTCGGTGGAATAAAAAAATATTGCTTTATTTGAAAATAGCAAAAAAAAAACACCATTTTATTTAAAAAAAAAGTTTTAAATTTTAAAAAGCTTTTTTTCCTTTGTCCTTTTCTTGCAATGGTTTCATAATTAATGCATTTCAATTAATTGAAATTTCTTAGATATATCCAAATTCCAACTGAAAAGAAGCGTCATTTCAATATTACTTTTTTGATTTTCAATTAAAAATTTTTCTCATTTCCCAACTTTTTTTGTCCACTTTTTTTGGCTATAATTTTCATTTTCTTGATCTTTTGAAAACAGAAATGAATCTATTTATTGACTGATTTAAAATTTGCATTTTAATTTATCTCAGCAAATTTGTTTGCAACAAGCAATGCTTTACTTTCATTTTCAACTGAACTGATTTCATCGAAACAAATATGATTTCACTTCAGTAATTATTAAATGCAATAAATGAGAGCTTCCTATGAGTGCTGCTGCCATTTGATCAATTTTTATTTATAACATTCAGTAGGTAAAATTTATCTTCCTGTCATTTAGTAATTTTAAATTTCCAATGAATTTTATCAAAGTTTCAATTGTATATTCAAATATTCTTTATTGGATAGAAGAAAAGCATGCTATGAAAAATGAGATGTTATTATTATATTTTTAACCGGAATTTCAATTCGATATCAAATAATAATTATTTGATGTTGAATTGAAACGGAAATTTTTATATTATTAGAAATTGAAGCTAAATATGAGCAATATATCATTCAGAAATGATGTTAAAATGGATATGAATGGAAAAAAAAAGAAAAAAAAAACATTGCTTTCTTTTTCGTTTGTGTTGCATATTTGTTAATGATGAATTTATCAGTCATTAACAGCTAATAAATTATTTTCACTTATTAATTATCATAGTTTTTTTTTTTTTATTTCAGTTATTTTCATTTATATGCATGACAGAATCACGGAGAATCGACTGTATTAAGAGAGTGCATTTAGCAGTTTAATTTCAATCCTTAATTAGGATAAATTTCTAGCAAACAAAATTAAATTTTGATTAATGGTTAATACGATTTATATTTATTACTGTTCCTTTTCAAAGTTTAAAATTTTTGAAATCTGTCTTTTTCAACATTATTTGTTTTACTAGCAATCCTTTCGCAAGCGGTGTAAACGACATTTAAGCTATTTGGTAAACATAATCATAATTAAACCTTTATGAAGTAAAAATACGATAAGTTTAATTGCTCAAATTTTTGTACAGTTAAATTGATGAAATTGGAAATAGCCAACGTTGAAAATATTGAATTGTATTAATTTAATTTAATATCTTCAACCTATCAACAGTAACAACAGTAATAAACAATAGCATTTTATTCGTTGCTCCTTTTAACAGTAATCAAAATATTTCGAACTACTTTCTCGATGTTAACGAACCGCTTTCTCGATTTGCATTTAATTTTTCTTTGTTGATAATTTAATCAAACCGAATGGCTAAATAACAATTTATCTTATTCATTGCGAAATACAATTATCCTATTTCAACAAATACGTAATTTCCAAATGTTTAACTAAACTTAAAAGAAAAAAAAAAGGAAACATCAATATTACAATTTCATGTTTTTTAAATAATCAATAGAAAAAATTCAACTTCATTCCGCATAATAATTTTCAAAATTTCCAAAATATTTGCAAATATTTAAAGTGTAATTTTTGCATCATCCTTTTCTAATCAATTAATACATTGAATTTTTGATTTTTTTTTGAAACAAAGAGAAAAAAGAGGAAAAAAGAAAAGAAAAACCAAATAAAATGAGAATGACTTGAATTCATTCATTTTTTTTAGTTTCAAATTTTATATTATATGATTGGAATAAACATTTGAGAATAAAGAAAATATTATCTTTTGTCGTTTCGCAGTTCCATCCAATTTTTTTTTTTTTTAATCAACTCACAAGAACCGGAAAATTTTTTTTTTTTTTTTTTTGAAATCCCTGATAGAAAAAGGGAAAGAAATGGAGAAATAGAGGGAGAGAGAGAGAAAGAAGGAAAGGTGAAGGGAGGAACAAAGAGAGATGGGAGAAGACAAAGGAAAAAGCAATGAAAGAAGAAATGTATAAAAAAAAGAGAAATAGAAGATAAAAGAAGGTAAAAAGAAAAAAATTGAAGAGAAGAAAGAGGAAAAGGGATAGAAAGGCAGAGAAAATGGACGAGAAATAAAGACAGAGAGAGAGAGAGAGAGAGAGAGGGAAAGGTGAAGGAAGGAACCAAGAAAGGTGGGAGAAGAAAAGGAAAAAAGTAATGAAAGAAGAAATGCATTAAAAAAAAAACGAGAAATGGAAGATAAAAGAAGGTGAAAAGAAAAAAAAATTGAAGAGAAGAAAGAGAGGAAAGAAGAGAAGGACAGAGAGAATGGAGAAGAGAGAAAGAGAAAGGGTAAGTTGCTTAGCTGTGATATTTATTTAAAGTTCAGTAACGATACCCTTCATCCGATACCTCCTACATATCATGAACACCCACGCACCTCTCTCTTCCTTCCTTTCTCATTTCAGATAATGAAAAGTGTTGGCTGAGTAGGATGGAGAGGTGAGACGCTTTTAAGCGTCTTACGTGCAGTTTATTTTATTACGTTTATTAATGTTACTGTTATATAAACCCGTAATTAAACCTATATATACATGATTTTGAGAGAAAAATTTTTTATAAAATTGGAGAAAATGGCGAAAAGAAATGAATGTTTTGATTAAATTTTAATTTGTCGTGGCTTTTTTCGTGCTCTATGTATTATATTTTTTCCTCTAACCATTTGTCATTTTGCAGGATTTAATCTTTCCATTTGCTGCTACATTAAATAATGTTTGTTTATTATCTATTAAACAGTGTTTTTTTGTGAATTTTTATTCAAACAAAATTAATGAAAAAAAGGTAGAATTTTTCCTTTTACGACAACTCGTAAAAATTAATTATTAATTAGTTGCTAAGACATATTTTAGAGATTGCACTTAGAAGTTAACAAAATATTTATATGTGAAAGAGGAAGTAAGAGATGAATTAATAATCAGGAGAAAATTCTTAGGAGATATATTAAAATTGATAAGAATTAAAGAAAAAGAAAAAAGAGAAACTTTTAGATCAGACAAGAAGAAAAACAAATTAGCAAAGTATATCTTAAATAAATATTAGATTGATATGATATTTGAGAGGAGAAAAGTTACCATTTACTTATCAGCCTGTTGATCATTTATTTAATGCTTAAATAACATTTTATTTTATAATAGCACCTGAATTTTTCCAGTTGTATATGCTTGATGGAAATGAGTAAATAATCGCTGATATTTATTCAGTCGATCATTTATTTGAATCATTCAACTATTTAAGCATTATGGATATTATTACAAATCGTACGGTACCAATGCGATTATTTGCCAATTGGGAAACAGATCGAACAATTGCTTGTGCCGTACAACGGTTGGTTTTTTCTTTTTTTTTCCAGTTGTATATGCTTGATGGAAATGAATAAATAGTCATTGATGTTTATTCAATGTTTTTCTTTTCATTTTTAATTAAAAAGTTTGAATTAGTTTAAATTTAACTTATCTTTCATCTTTATTAAGAAAGAATATTGTTAGCATCATATATTCGTTGATACCAACATTTCGCGAATGTTTTCAGCATGTTTTCAATGGCTTTAACTCGTTTAGTGCTTAATGCATTTCATGGAAATCAATCCACGATTGTCATCACTGTTAAATTACACGTAAGTTTTAAAATTTGGACGTCTGAATTATTTTATTTTTTTCTCGCTGATGTACCATCAGCGGTGCAGGTGATTGTCTGATAAAGAAAAATTTAAAAATTAAACTTTTATTGCACGTTGTACTTTTTTTTGGATAAAATCTAATTGAATAAAAGTGTTTTCAATTAGCAAAAGTTGAAATGTACATCAATTATGTATCCACTATAAGTCTGCGAGCATTTTATAATTTTAGGGTTCGAAACGATCTCTTCGTAGTAATGATTTTTTAATTCAATCTAGAAATGGCAGAGTTGATATAGATTTAAATTTATCATTTACAATACAGGTACCTTATTAAGTTTTAAATTTTAGTATCGTATAATCTTAGTTTTGTTGATGTCTTTATTTTCAGTTCATTTATTTAAAATTGTATTCAAACAATTTCTAATGGAAAGGCATCGTTTTTTTTAAAATATATTTTCAATTTTTTATGGCTTCATTTCGTGTGGTGTTTTGTTTGTTTGCGATATATATCTATATTATTTCTTTACATGCAATGTTATTCTTGTGATGGTGTTCTGTTTGATTTATTGATGATTGATAATGGCCACAACGATGCATTTATTTTTTAGTATCCGCATTTCTTAAAGAGAAAAAGAAACATCTTACATATTTTGCTTCAAAGACGCAAAAGATATAAAAACCGGCCAATTTTTGGTTATAAAACGCTTGCTGTTGGTAAACCTTTTTCTATAGCATACTAATCATCATTATTTGATGAAATTTTTCAATGATTCATTTATATGACTTTTACAGTCATTTCTTCATAATTTCACTTATTTAGTATGAATTTAAAGATTTCTCTTTCAAGTTTTCTTCAAAAATGCCACTTTTTGAATTCATTCTATTTTGCAGGTACAATCAATTTATCAGAAGTGCTGCAAAATTGTTCTGTTCATGAGATTGTACTTTTTGATCCGGTTATGGAAAAAGATGAGGTACAAAACATCAATCGTAAGTTACCTTAATTTGTGCATTGATATAATTATTAATAGAATTTCAGGTGTTTTATCGAGTAAGCAAAATTCACAATGTTTACTTATTTGTGCGGCATGGAATAATTCAATTTTTTGCATTATTTTTTTACATTATTTATACATTTATATATTTGTTTTGTGTCGTAGTATTAACAGGTTTTTGTTATCATATAATTGGAACACGGACAATATTATTAAATCACCTTACATTAAACGATGACACTGATCTTGTCGATTTGATTTTTATTGGAAAATGAAACTTTAGGGCTAACTATCTTTGCTTTCACCTATGTCATGTTTCATATTTCCGAATATTGAAATTTCGAAATTTAAGTCACGGATGAGAGTTGTTAATAAAATGAGGTTACGAAGGATTCTCAGTTTAAATTAATCATTGCTTTCACTATTTGATATTCTACCATTTGCAGCAGTGGGACGACTTGTAGTTGGGTCTTGTCAAAGTCAAGCATTTGAAACTCAAAATGAAATGAGTGTAAGAAGGATTAAAGAAAAGGGATTAGAAAGTGAGGATGATAATGACAGTTCATCGGAAGGGCAAGAAACAAATGATGAGCAAGAATTGCAAGATTCAGGTCATTCAATGCCAAAGCAGAGGTGAAACATTAACACATCAAATTTTTAACTTTTTCTTCAATGTTTCCATTGCTTTTCATTTTTGATTCTTTATCAGAGTGTTCTGTGCATTGCTGATTCCTTTCATGCCGTAATTTCTATGCACTCGTAAGTCTTATTTCTCAACATTCAATTTGTAAATTGACAGTTCATGCATTTTTTTAGGTATAAGTCACGGAAAAAACAGGAACGAAAAATCGCGCGGAAGAATTTGAAGCAAAAATTTTCATCTTTGTTAAAAAGATTCAAAGTTCCTGAAGAAGAAACTGCAGGTTAGATAATTACATTTCAGTATATTCTATATGGATTTTTTTTTTGAAATTTCTGATTCCTTTCATGTCTTAATTTCTATGCACTCGTAAGTCTTATTTCTCCACATTCAATTTGTAAATTGACATTTCACGCATTTTTTAGGTATAAGTCATGGAAAAAACAGGAACGATTGGACTTTTATTATGATTTTCATCATTTTCATCATGATTTTCATCATACACTTTATCTGATTAATAAGTTAAACAGATAGCTGTAACTTTTTCAGATTCCGCATCACGAACCGGTAGTGTAGCACCGACAGCACAGGAGCTTGAGGAACTATTTGAAGAATTGAATAATTTATCGGATTCGGGACCAGAAATGGTCATGGATAATTTGAGTATAGTAAGCAATCCAAGACCAAGTTTACGACCTTACTTTGCATCACGAGAAATGTTGCCATCAATCAGCGATTACAAAGTATTGGTATACTTTAGACATTATCTTTGATCTGATCTCTTTTTAAAAGCATTGCATTATTTCATTGTGAAAAATTTGTTTTAGGACAATACTGAAGAAACAGATAGCGATGAAGAAGTTAGCACCGATGTTGATAATCAGGCGGTCCAATCAACTGGCGTGTAAGTGGAAAGTTGAATTTAGAATGCATGGAATTTTTCTAAAATTTAGAATGCTTGTTTTTTATTGTAGTATCAATCTTGTCTTCTGTCAAACTGAAACTTGATCAACATGACAATCATCCATGTTGAAAAATTTTGTGATTTTGAATGCTATGTTCATTCTTCTTAACACATATAATTTCTGATATTTTCTTTTTGCTTGACATATTTTGCTAAGTTGACTTAGTTGAGGGAGAAATAGGGAGGAAAAAAGGAGTGAAGCATATTTTTGTTTTTTTATTTTAGGAATCCCCTTTTTTTTAATCTGAATAGTTTTTGGTAAATATTATCTTTTATTACCAGAATTTGTTTAGAGATTGTCAAACAGACAATCTTTTTCTGTTTGAACATCACATTTATTGGTTACAGATATGGCTCAACTGAAAAAGATCATCAGAAGTTTCTGGCAGCATTAGAAACAGTTCCAGGTATTACCACTATGAGCAGTGCTCCTGGTCTTCATTTTACCGGTTCCAATTTACCAGCCTCGGTTTCTGCTGTTTCATTTTCTCTTTCCTCGCCAAATTCCGATCCTACAAGAAATGTTGCAAAATTTCATTGGCATCCCGTACGTACGACGTCTGTCACTGATTGGGTAAATTGTTGCATATTTTAAAAAAGTGAAATTATTTTCTTTCTGTTCTAATCGTATATAACATAGTAAAGTAAGTCGATTTTATTCACTTTATCACATTTAATATGTTACGCTCATGCTAAAATAACACTACTTTTTTTAGTTGAAAAAAAAATAACACTATAGTTTTTTAGTTTTAGTTGAAATATTATTTTTTAGTTGAAATTAAACTAAAGTTATTTTATATTTGCCGGAATTAAGCTAAATTGCGATTGCATATTTCATCTCAATTCATCACATCGCACTAAAACTTAAGAGTTGGGATAGAATTATTTATTGATTAGTGTATGTGTGTTAGGATTATTCCTTGCAGTTGCTTCTTTTTTATTGTCTCCATTTCGATCATATGTAAATGGTTGATGATCACCAGCTCATTTTTTCTATAATTTTTAAACTTTAATTTTGGATTAAAAAAAACGGCATATTTTATAAGGCAGTACCAATAATTTCATTGTCTCCTCAGCTGCAGAAAGACTTAAGTATTATATTCAAGTTTCTTGTTGATCTTTATTCTAAAACCGTAAATTATTTGAAACTTTCTGATTAAATAAACATTCTACACTTCAAATAAGACAAAATATTTATTAAATTATTTCACTCTAATTACACAGTAATGTTTACTCTAATCGGGATTTAAAAATTATTTTTTATAGTTATCCGCTGTCATACACGAAGAAGAGTCGTGGAATGTTAGTGAACGTTTATGGTTATGTGATAGTTCTGATATTCAAATTCCATCATTTTTCGGTTCCGTTTTTCGGGTACTGGATTGCTCATCGTTTAATGATTGCCGCTTATTGATCTCATCGATTGTTGCGAAAATACAAAAATTGTGAGCACTTTTTTTGCATATGCTATGAAATGCTATAAAATTTGTAACATTTACTAAAAATTATATTGATATATGCTTTCTGATCGATTCTTATATGAAAACTGTTATAATTCATAAAAAAGCCTAGAAAAATTGAAATTTAAGATAATTTTTTTTTTTAAAGCTGTAACAGCTCATCCACATCTCCACCATGTACAGTTCTTGGTGTAATTGGTTCAGAAAAATTGGTTAACTTAGTTCTTCGTGCTTATGTTGAATCGTTGCAAGATAAATCGGCTGAATGGATCAATTTCCTGAGGTGAAACATCTTATTTTCTCTAATGAGATATATAAAGTAAATCATTTTTTTGCTTTTTTGTTTTTTCATAATCAAAAGAAAGCTTGAGTTCTGATAATAACTTTTCACTTCTTAGATTTCTTCTTATTTCAGATTTTGCTTGGTTACATTACCCTCTAGTTCGCTGAGCAAAGTGCTTAAAGCTGGATCTGGTGGTGTATGTACACTAAGTGAACTTTTTGTGAAAAATCCTGATGAATCATTATTGTCTGAATTAAAAGCATTTTCGGAAAAATTGCAAAATATGCCGGAGGGAACATTTCGAAAGCTACCAATTGGTGAAGCAATGTTACAGTTACATAGTAAAGCGTAGGTATTTCAGTCATATGACTTTTTTTTCCTTAATTTTCCAATACTAGTAGATCATTCCTTGCATTACGCTTTCCCAAGTAACTATTGAATTGTATTTTCATTAAGTCATCATTAGCTACAAGATTGAAAGCAACTAACGATTCATATCCAGCAATCTTAAGCAGCTACCAAATGGTAGTATCTTTTCTACTTCTTTGATGTTTATTAGATATGTGTTTCCTAATACCTAATTATTTCCTACACATTACGCAATTATAGCTTAGCAGATGAAAAAGAAAGTTCACAGTTCGTTCCATTCCTTTCCGAAGTTCGAGTTGGACAATTCGAAGAAGATATGGAAAGTTGTACAATGTCTGTGCGGCTTAACGAGGAAGCTCAGGTACTTTATACAAAATAGTTTTTACATTTGGTTTTTGAAATCTGTCAGTATGGACTAAATTCCGACTGCAATTATGCAAATATTGTTATTATTTAAGTATTTTATTATTAATTAGGTTAGATTATTAATAATTTGTTGTATTATTGCAGGGTGCTTTTGGTGTGCAACAACTATCTCCTCCGTTAAGTCCACATAATATAAAAATATCTGATTCACAGGATCTCCTAATCGAATACTGGGTACCAAATAATCAAAATGTAGGTGAAAAGATTGTCTTCGCTTTTTCGAATATCTTTTCTCGTATACAAATGTGAAGGTAAAACTTGCATATACAATAGTTTAATCGAAAAGATTATTTGGATTAAGATAATCTTGTGTTCTTGGTTTTTAGAACTTTCATATTATTAAAGTACAGTACTTATCTATTTATTTTATTCATCATGGAATTTGATCTGTTTTGTGTAGTTTCGAAGTTTAATGGCTACTGATTTTAGAATGATGGTGGTGGAAGCAGTGGTATTGGTAGTAGTGCCACTGGAGCAGTGAAACGTGAACCTCAATTTTTGAAATGCTCGATTCGGTCGGCATTTCGTTCATTTGCAGTATTTCGGAAACCATTTAATGCTCTTCTTTCTTTTCAATTTGTTAAGGAGCGAAGACGCGATAAAATGTTGCATAAATTTGGAATGAAGAAAGTGCAAGTACGTTTCCAACAGTTCATTCAAACATGAGGATAATTCTAAGAAAATTGGTTTCAAAAGTTTTATTTACGTATAAAATTATTTGCATATAAAATTTAAGAAGACGACTGTTTTGATTTGAAATTCACTGCTTTCAATTTGTAGCGAAATGAATCAGAAGGTCAAAGTGCAGTGCAATGTATCAGCAATGTGGCACGTCTAATCTGCAGTGGGAAACATCCGCTTACAAGTAAATTAATTGTTATCGTCTTCATACTTTCCAAGCTGATAAATATGAGTATTTAGCCTTTGTTTTGGAATATGTTGATAGATCATATCATAACCATCTGTATTAGAAAACGAGCTCAAATTATTACTGTACCTTAAAAAAAGATTTAAATGAGAATCGAATTCAAATTGTTATGCTAGTATTTAAGGTCCATCTCTTTTTATCTGTGTCTCAATACTTAATTTTAGTAAGAAAATTGAAGAAGCAATTTTAATCATCGATAAATATCGCAAACTAATTTCCCCAGTTTAAATGAAATAATTTATGCAATCCCAAAAATTATATTTCTTTCATAACATTTTTGTTTTATTTTTCAGTTTCGATCGATGGTTGTGTGTGGTCAGAAATACGTTTTTTCCAGATCTCTGCTCAGTGGCAAACACACGTAAAATATTTTCCAGTCTGTTTATTATCACGAAATTCATAACATCATATTTACTGGTTGCATTTTGTTATCATCTCCGTTCAAGAGCTTATCTGTTTATGCATTTTTTTTTTTTGTAAGCTCCAGTTTGATACATTTAAATAGCATTCTTCTTTAACAAATTTCAGTGTGAAAAATTATATGGAAATTAAAGGCAGTGAGTTTGGTGAACTTAGAAATTACTGAAAAAATTTGACTAAATTTTTCATTACTAAATTTGATTTAAAGTTATCGGATTTGAAAGTATTATTAGATTTGATTATTTTTGCAACTGTCCCAAAATAAGAATAATATATTGTACCTTTGCCTTGTTTGTTATATATCAGTTGTTTATTATGCTAGTCAAAATGTTCCGTATTGAATTTTTTTGCTGAGGACTTTTATTTGAAATCTGAAATTTATCATTTAGAATAATAGCATAATATTGTTGTAAAATTTTTTTTCATTACAAGAAATTTCTCCATCGTTTGATTTGATATTCGATGTAACTTATGATCCCATAATATTTATTTTCTCAAATTTTAAAGTTATATTTTTAGTTTAGGGTTGTTACTTTTTTTTGATATCAATTTAGAAAGCTTATTTTTGTAATGTTTGCAGTTTATTTTTCCAGACGTTTGCTATTACTTAATTTTTAATAAAATTCTATTTCTAAAATAGAAGCAGTCTGTAAAACTGCTAAAACATATTCTTTTAGTGTATTGTTTGATCGAAAAATTGCTTCAATAATTTCAGAAAATGATCATTTGAAGATTGATGACAAGTTATAATCCAAATATGACAGGTGTTTGTATTTATCTCATCATAATTATCTTCTCATCTTCCGCGAAGTATACTATTTCACTACTTCGCTGCATATAACATTACCAAAAATGACTGACGAAATTAACTTTAATGATCCGTTCATTTTAATGAATCCATTAAATTACACTTATCAATGATTGATTTCTAGTTGTTACGTAAACTTCGCGAAGCTACTTAATCATATCTGTTTATTCGTTATTCAATTTTTACGTTTCTACCTCTACAATTAAATCAGTTAATTTGCATATTACCAAACTATCCCAAATCAAAAAATTTATTTTATAAATCATAAATAAGTTTCATTTTAACTTAATTTTTGCTTTATGGGATGTTCACAGCCGGTGTATTAATTACAGCTGTTGTTGTTGATTCTTCATGGTTTGTTTACTTCAAGCAAATAATACTATTCTGCCAGAAAAAAAATTTTTATTGCTTTAAAAACTTCCGTCCTTTGTTTTTTGTTAAATCTTCGCCTTCTTCACTTTCAGAAATATATTATATTATTAAGCATTTCGATTATATTTGTGAATTCAGGCAGTTTTTTTAATAGTAATGTTCTCCAGCTTACGTTTCATGAATCATATACAGATCAAGTGAAGGTTGGCTAAATCGCTTAACTTTAATTTTTAAAATTCTTATTTTTATTTATATCATTTATTTGATAAAAATGCGGATATAATTTTTTTTGCGGATATAATTTAAATAGTATTGCAATTATTATTATTCAATTTTTTTATTGTTATCATCCGATTGCTGTTGCTATCAAATTATTGAACTGTTAAGTCGTTAAACTTACTTAATTAAAATTTGTTTCTTTTTTATTTTTTTGAATGTTTACTGTTATCAGTGACCTTTTACTATTCAAATTTCTTCCTTCTTTTTTGCATTCTGTTATTTTTGCTAATTTCTGTTTGATACACAATAATTGGCATAAATGTTTCAAAATTTTAATTAAAAAAAAAAAGTTCATTTCGGAAGAAAATTGTTTTCATTGCTTAATTGAATGTGTAAAAATTTTTGATAACAAAGAATAGAAGTAATATTCATCATATTCATGAGTAAATTTTCGGGTTATTTTAAAAATGTACATTTTAATAGCTTATAAAGAAGATTCAATTGAAAATGTGGCAAAAAAAATTTTCGCTTAAAAAGAAACTCTTGAACAAATAGCGAATTATTTTGCTACATCTTTCAATAATGGTTTTAAAGCATTTATTAAATAAAACAATGAATTTATCAAAGTTTTTTTTGAAGATTTCAAAGTTACTTTAACATAATGATTGATACATTTAGGTGCATTATATATTACGGAAATGTTTACATGTTGCATTATTGTCCACACAACGATATCAACTTTTTCTCAATTTAATAATTCGTAATATTGATAATAAATGTCGTATGGAGATTTCTATGCTACTTGCAACTTATAGACCGTATATTCTTACCAACTGGCATAACTTATTGTTTGATACAGTATAATTTGTATTTTTATTTTCTATTTTCAAAAATATTCTCATTTTTCTTCTATTTTCGGTATCTTTTTTTTTTTTTTTTTGATAGCTAACAATTAAAAGGAAAAGAATTGTAACAATATTTATTTGTAGGTGACAGTATTATTTTTATTGTTGTATGTTTTATATGTGAAATTATGTGCATCTCATTTAAATTTGATATTTTGCTATATAATTTAAATAAATTATTTGAAAGTGTAAGAAAATAGATATCTGTCAATTCACTCTTTTGATTTCCTCTTTGTCATTTGTAGGAAAAGCAAAACAGATTTTGTTGCTTGTAAATAGTTCTAATTTAAAAGATTTAACATTTAAAATTCAGAAATAGAGTTGTTTCTGAATTTATTGCTAGCTGAAATATTAATTACTGAGGATATTAATTGATGTTGTTTATTCAGGTGCAAATTTTAAATGTCAATTAGAAGATCTCGAACTAGTAGTAAATGCACTTAGAATATTAGATTGTTTGCTTTTCTTTTTTGATATATAAAGCGTTGATTAATTAATTAGATAGTGTAATAAAATTTGTTTTTGAAATTATCGGATTTAAATGCTACTTGAATTTTAATTCGCTTATTTAACCTTAACATATTTATTAAAATATAACTTTGACATATTTATTAAAATGATATATATTTATTGTCTATATTTTAAAACAGTTATTCATTTACACTTATGTAAGTTACTTAAATGCATGTAACCGGATTTTATGACCAAAATTATTGTCGATTAACATGGAATGTGCGAAAGGAAGCGAAAAATCAAATAATTATGGAAATTCGTTGCATGGTGGAAATGAATATTTCGAAGAACATATCGGGTATGATTGATCAAAAGCGATTCATGTGTATTCGATTATGCTTAACAATTGATAATAATGAATATAATAGATCGTTCATGCAGAATTTCTTGTCAGGTTTAATTATTATTTCAATAAATTTTCATTTGTTATCAATTAAAAAAATTTGATCTTTATTTCTTATTTAACTGTATATTTCAACGATATGAAAGTATATTTATGTAATGAGGCAATAATGAAATTCGTATCATTTGTTTTCAAATGCTTTAATGCAATACTTCAAATATATTCAAATCAATTAAACAATATTCGGTATAAAATTGTTTTTTTCTTATTTTCAAAAATAAAACAAGAACAAGAGAAAAAAAAAATTATATGGGGTTTTTTTTTTAAAATTCAATAAAAACGATAATATGTTTTTGTTTTTGGATAAAATTTTCAATTTTAAATTTGAATTCGCAGAATGGGAAAAGAAGATTTTTGACCCGAAAATACGACGTATCAGAGAAGTGCCACCTACAAAAACAAATTTAAAATTGAGCAAGCATGAAACAAGAAGACAAAGTATTACTCAACGTTTACTTACAAATGCGATAAAGAAAGCGACGTATATTCCGTTTGCATGGATCAATGATTACAATGATTCCATGTGGAATAATGATACGGAAGTTAATATAACATCGACAAATGTTGCTATTGTACCAGCAAAGCACAAGAATGATTTAATTTTTGGCTATTTTAGGTTCAGTAAAATTATTATTTCTAATATTTTATTTTTTTTTTTTGTAAACAATATTTTATTGTATTCCCGGGTTTAATCAGCACAATTACTCATTAGTGTGAAATGTTGGGAAAGGAAAAGTTTATTAAAAGAATAATATATTAAATTAAATTTGAAATTAAGATAATAGTTGTTACAGAATGAATGGATAGATGTTTTGATTGTAAAATTATGATGCTGTGGTTTGAAATGAGTTCACTTAAAGACATGCAAAACCTATTTAAAGTTTTAATTAATATATGAAATATTTCCTTCTAATATTCACTGTTAGACGACATACGAGTTAATTCATTTAAACATACAACAAATTATCATCGATTACTCATTTTTTGCACTTTTTGTTTCCATTGTCTTTTAATCAAGTTTTATTTTTCATTATTGAATTTTAATTGAGAAGTATGTGTTATCAAGATTTTCAAATTTTAATAAATAAAATATTAACAATTTTAGATTGTATGTTTTGATATTGCTTGCAATTTTGGTTATACTTTTGCTTATAATCACAGCAATTGCATGTTATTATGATTGTGAAAATCGTCGCAGCCATTTATTGAGTGGTAACATCAAGAATGGTGCTGTGCCAACAGTAGCGGTCAGATATAAAGGCAAACAGCTCGATATTGTCGATAGAAATAAATTTCGAGAAGATGTTAGAATTTATAATTTAGTTATTTTTTGATTAACGTTATAAAATATCAAACAAATAGTTCATGGATAGTACTAATGTAACTGTAATTGATCACTATAATTTTACAATTGTACTATTACTGTATACCGTAAGATTCGAATCAATGATAGCATTACGAAAAGACAATTCACTATTGTAATTTTTTAAATGTAACACAAAATTATAATTCGTAACTAAATAGTAGTACAAAATCGTAAATCTTGTTCATAGTACACAGTATATGGATTACTGTAAACTTACAATGATTTTATATCGTAAAACTATAATTCAGCATCGTAGAATATGTATGAAGAGACTAATATAAGATAAGAAATAAATGCATATCAAAATACTAAATTATTCAGCGATTACTGGTAGATATTTAATTGTAACAATGATATTTATAATTGAAAAAGTTGATTATTCTATTATTTTGCGTGATATCACAGAAATATTTGTCGTAAAGGTGAAAAATTATGAAATTTATCTTTAATCATCTTTAGGAATTGTAACAAATTTTATTAAACATATGCAATTAAAAAAAAAATCACTCATTAACAAAGTTTGAAAGTTACAAATGAATGAATATTAAGTATTAGCAAAATATATTGTGGTTTTAATAAACATATAATAAACATATGAAAAAAGTATCGTGGTTTTAACAAACACATATTTAATAAACATATAAAAAAACAAAATATATTGTGGTTTTAATAAATATATAAAAAAAATTTCTTACAAAGTTTGAAAGTTACAAAAGAATTAATATTAAGTGTTAGCAAAATATATTGTAGTTCTAATAAACATATAAAAAATAATGATTTGATGAAAGATCTTTATTATCATGATAAGCTAATATTATGCATATTGTACAAACAAAATTGATCACTAATACAGTAGTAGAATGTGAGCCTTTTTTTTGCTTCTATTATTAATTGTTGCTTCTATTATTAATTGATTATTTGGTTTTGAATTTTGTCTATTTTTATCAGAAAAGTAATATTTTTGGCAAAATGATTGTAAATAATGAATTGAGATATCAGAAACAAGAGATAAAAATAATGAATACAATAAGTATACTGCAGTGTGATTATAATGACAGTATTGTAGGTTACACAATCATCAGTGCATTCTCGGACACTTCGAAAGCGTAAAATGCTTATTGAAGCACGACGATCAGCATCAACAAAATCTGTTACAGACAGTGAATTTGGTAAAATTTTTTAATGTAATAAAAAATAGTGAATTATAAATTGTAAATTTGTTAAATTAATAAAAATAATTCATAAAAATATGAAATCATAAAATAAAGCTCTTTATTTCTCAGTTTCCAACTAAAAGAAGCTCAGCATAAAATTTGAAAAAAATTCACCTTTAGCAAAAAAATTCTCTTCCAGAATTATTAATGTTTTTAATTTAAAATAACATTTTATTTATTTTAGCACAAATCAAGTGAATTGCAATTTGAATTTAGATTTTAAAGAAAATTTAATCATTATCTTTTACTGTATAATTAATTTATTTGATGTTTTTAGAAGTCACATTACATTTGAAGGTTCATATTTCATCTCAAAGTAAAATTTCATCTTCCAATTCTAAATTTTGCTGATATAGTTTCCATTGTTTTCACAGTTTAACTGCGTATTTATAATTTCTAAATGTTCACGTTTGTGTTCTTATTTGCATTTTAATTTTTTCATTCACTTTCTATCTTCACATCTAAACATTTATGCTTTCATATTTCTATAAAATTTATGTTATTAACCAACTATTTATTCCTTTTTTTGAATAAATACCATTCACATATTATTATCTAATCATTATCAATTAATTAAAATGATTTATTTTTTGTATGATAATAGTAATAATAACAATAATAATGATTATTGTTGTCATTATTTCTACTTGAAGGATATTTATAGGTGATAATGCGATGTTTAAAATAGGCAAAATGCCAAAATTATCTTACCAAGTCAAAACAAAAGTATATTTTTTTCTCTTTATTGCCAACTTACTGTTTTATGCTTTTTTATGATTAAATTATTCAATATATTCTTGAAACATTATTGCTTAGGTCCATTACATCATTGCTTAAGTTCAAATTCATCAGTGAAAAATGAAATAACTTAATCAATAAATAATTGTACTACAAAAATTTCCATTAAGCATATTCTATTTTTTGAGTGAAAATTAAAACAAATGTAAAGAAAACAATTTCAAAAAATTAAAATTATTTTCTTTCCTTCAATAAATTTAGCTATTGGGAACAAAATTATTACAAAGTGATCGTGCGAAAGATGACAGAGTGCATGGTGCAGTATTACAAGTTACAGAAATGAAAAGGTTAATAATGCTCTTCTAATTTTGTTTCAGAAATTAAATATTTAAAATTGCCAGACGTGAAAAATAGAATTGAAATAAAATATATTAGAAAATATTTAAATGATTGATACAATTGAATTATAGAAGTGAAAGCATAACGGGTGACATGTCAGAAATATCGCTCTCGTCGTCAGCGTCAGATTTAAACAAAGAAGAAAAATCAGTTACCGGA